AAACTAAATAGATGTCGCAAAAGTTTATTTGTAATGCTGCTCAACTGATGAAGGATTGAAACCTATCCTCAGCGTTTTGGATTAATAATTGTAAGAAATAAATAATTGTTGGTGGAATCTCTATATAATATATAATTAAAATAACAAAACACTTGTAGCATATATATCTATTTTTATTTGGCCCGTATTGGAATATTTATATATGAATTGATGCATCTGTCATGGGAGTTAATGTCCTAGAAAAAATTTACTTTTCTTCTTCTTCTTCTTCTTCTACTGTATCAATTTCATGTAATAATTGAAAGAAAAATATATGTTTTCATTTATCTATCAAACTCATGGTATTTTCCGTCGAAAAAAAAAATTGGCTTACACAGCTGTCAAAGAAATCAGAACTAAAATACCAATAGCTTTTTTTTTTATTTGTTTATTTATAAACATAATAATCTGTCACGTGGACAATAATTATAGTGATATATAAACACATTCACACCAACCAATACTAAAATTGAAGCGGTGCTGAACGAGTTTTATATATCACAATGAAACTAATGCTGAAAAGCTTGGATTTATTTTGGTCTAATTGGTCAGACACCAACAAAACTAAGATACATGAGAATCACTGAATGTTGGATGGACACGTTTTTTTACAAAAAAAAAAAAATCTTTTTAATTTATTTTTCACGAAGTGTATTTGAAAATTTAAAATACATGCTTTTTCAGCTTTGTCAGCATATGTAAATTTTTCTAGTTTTATTTGTATACATAACCTTCGCGCTCCGGCGCAGACCCTGTCCACCAGTCCACTTCCAATTAATTCCATCCAGCTTCCTTTTTCAGACACAGTCCGTTATCTTGGCTTTCTCTTAGACCGAAGACTAACGTAGAACCCACATATTAGACTTAAAAGACAAGAACTTAACAGAAGATACGGCCAATGACTAGAAAATCTCAACTTTCAATTGACAATAAATTACGTATATACAAGACAATTCTGAAACCTATTCTGGACCTATGGACTTGAACATTGGGGATCAATTAAATATTTTAACATCAAATGCACCCAATCCTTTCAATCCAAAGTCTTCCGAACAATAGTCGATGATCCGTTCTATGTAACTTACAAAACCCTACATCATGACCTTAATATTTCATTTGTCCTAGACCTTATCCCTGAACATTTTTCCTAATTCCATTAGAAACTTACAAATCATCCAAATCCTCTTGCACAATCCCTATCTAGTTCCATGCCAATATTAAAGCGGCAGTGGCCCTAGAGATCTTTTGTATTATATATCTTGGAGTTCTGGCAATAGCCAGATTCTCCATTCAAGACATGAGTGTATGTGGCTAAAGCGCTCTCGCTCAATCTCCACTGGCTTTAGCACCAGTGACGTGGTTGAGAGAGTAGTGCAGAGATCTCTTGGAGTCCTGCTTTTCCCTCTAAAGAGAGACAAGCCTGGCTTGGGGTTTACTGTCTGATTGTATGTATTGTATACTTTTTTTTAGGTTATTTTATTTTTATTGTATATAGTCATTGATTATTGTTTACTTATTATTTTACTTTTATTAATTTTATGTTTTCTGTATATATATATATATATATATATATATATATATATATATATATATATATATATATATATATATATATATATATATATATATATATATATATATATATATATATATGGCGTAATAAATAAAAAAATAATAATAATAATAATAAAAGGCTTAGCGAACCCGAAGGTTCGATGCCGACACCACCAATCGAATATTACACACCTCCCTCCACCGTTCGCCGTCCAAACCCAGCCCCTTCAGATCGGCTTTAATGCAATCTTCCCACCTTCGCAGTAATACAAAAAATAATGAAAAACAAAGAAATGAAGATTTTGTGATACCTTCCTTATCCCATTTTTTGTGGTTGTCGATAAAATTTCGAAGGGTCCTCCCAGCCTAATGTTTCGTGTTAACAATTATAATTTTTAGACTACTTTAAAAATTGTTATCTAAGGGTCTCTTGCAATACGAAAAATTAATAATTACTTTGTTTTTCCTAAAAAATGTTTACTCTAAATACCAGGCCAGTTCTGAAAAAATATTATACTTTATAAATATTATTAGATAGTATAGGAAAAATTAGAGCCAACCGACGAAACAGTGTAGGAGTAAATACTTTTTCAGGGAGAAACAAAGTTGATATTTGACTTTCGCACCTAAAAAAAACTTTTAAATACGGATTTTTATAGAAATCGGAAAATTGAAAGTATCTGCAAGGAATTTTTGATTAGGCAGGATCCTAGTCGACAACTGCAAGAATTGTGATAAATTCAGGGTGGTCCTCCGTTTTACACAAAAATTTAGAGCTCTACATGTTACATGGAATGATACTACCCCGATTTTCGTAACTAAAACCAATGAAAGAAAATTCTCTATCATAAAAAGAAAATCTTGAAGTTAATTATGTGGGTTGGAAGATCAGTAGTTCCAATCGTTGTACTAATGGAGGAAATCCTGAGAAGTTACGAATTCTTCAGTTAAGGTCCTGAGAAAAATCAGGTATTAACATTTGGAGTTTTCAATTTCTATATAAGTTCGTATTAAAGAGTTTTAAAAGACACTGAAAATGTTCCTTACTTTCTTCTTCATAACAAAATCTTGCCTATTTAACTAGAAGCGTTTATTGGCTTTTGTAATGAACCATATATTAAAAAAAAAAAGAGATAAAATGGTGAATGTTGAATTTTGAAATCTGCATAAACAAATCTAAAACCAGTGTAGATTGAAGCTCTACCAATATGAAATTACAAGGTTGTGTAAGCTGCTAAATATTTGTTGGCCTGATAGAGGCCTGTTTGTCTGCTTAACCTTATATGCCTTTCTCTTTGCCCTGATCAAATCCCTTATGTGCTCTGAGATTAGGGAAATTTCGTTGCTATAGAGAAATTGAGTAAACGTGAAGACAACCGTTTAATCTTTAGAAATTGAAGCTAACAGTTTTAATGTATGTTAAATTATTGTTAATAAAGAAAAATTATAGTTGGCAAGTAGCCAATGGCAACGAATGCAGTAATTTTCGGAAATGGATTCTTGATAGAGACTATTTTAAAAACCCAATTAGTTAAAATAAATTATTCTCAATATACAATATCAGATTAAAAATAAAATAACTGTATTCGAACCAAATTTTATAACAATAATCATTATTATTAATAAAGTATATATATATATATATATATATATATTTATATATATTGTATACAATATATAAAACTACCAAATCAAATATTTAATTCACCAAGCAAGAAAGTAAACATTACAAAAAATTAAGCTACAGTACAGAATATAACAATGTGTAGTTGACAATATATAATTTTTTATTCACTATATCAAATACATCCATTACTACTTATTTATTATTTTATTTTTACTATTTATTTGCCACTGCATTACAACGCATCAAGGAAGTTGCCGTTAATTGTGTCTTCTTTTATTCTTGATAATTTTGTACATTGATAGAATAACTCACATGGAACCACATGTCAGAATATAATTAAAAAATAAAACAAAAATATGTTCAATACATTTCTTTAATTGAATACTCGCCGTACACCGATATTTAAATCACGTTAAATTTGTAATATTCCTAATTTGTTCCATACTTATGATGTGAACATGACCAATCAAATCTGATTTACTGAATAACATCTGACATTCATGACTTAAATAATCAATTATAAAGAAATAAAAAACCAGACGACTCAAAGCGTTCCAGTTTTATGGTTTTCACATATTTAAAGACTTTTAATAGTGACGTATGTTTTTAAATCTTTGATCGAATAACACCTGTTTTTATTTTCCATTAAATTTGTCACTGCGTTGTAACGCATCAAGCAAATTTGTTGGAGTTTATTATATCTTCTTGTATTCTTAACTTGCCAGCAGAAGATCTCTAGGCCACTGCCTTTTTAGTCGTCGTTGGGACTCACCAGGTAACAGGCAGGTAGATAGAGATAGAACGCGTGGATTTGGATGATTGAGATTAGAAGAATGAAATGTTGTGTACTTGTTGTGTATGCAAGGTTTTACTTTTGTTATGTTCATGTGTGTATGGTGTGATTTGAAATAAACCAAGGAGCATTGACAATTTCACGAAGTATTTTGAATAGTGTGGTTTGTATTTTGTTTATTTTTGTGTGTTTTGCGGAATCCGAAAGTTCTGCTCCGTATGTAACTGGCTTCTTGTCTATTGTCACAGTAGGATACAAAATCTTTCTCGCATAGATTTAGCAATGTTTAGCATTCGTCGACATACTGTTGATTTTTTTTTCGTTTTAAAAAGGATTTTTTATAATTTTTTTCATGAGTGGTTGTTTTCAGTTAATTGATATAACGCATTATTTGTATTATGCATCGAATTCAGCGGTTTCAGGATTTGTCTGACTTTTCGTATAATGATTAGAATAATCATAGAATATATTAGAAATATAAAAATTTCTGGATTCTATTTTATTGTTAAAATATAATTATATTTATTGGAATCTGACACATTAAAGCTCACTCACTAAGTATCTAATTCTTGATACTTTATATATGAAAGCCAAATCATCACTTCAGACCAACCTTCCTTTTACCTTAAAATTAATAATATAGAATATATATACAAGGCAAATCATTTTTTTTATTCTATCGCTACATTTTTTTTTTGTTTATGGTTTTATATATTATTGAAACCTAGCTTTTGAATTACTGGAAACCAATCAATCAGCTTGGACTAGATTCCATTGTCACGACCACGACATCAGTCTAAACGACCGCATCACAATCTGTCACTGACAGGGGTCAAGCAAACGGAGGGCTAAACGTTTTTCCGCTCTTGGCTGTTACCTCAGCACTTCCTTAATCAGGTTGGCAACAGTGGCGGACTAGATTTAGTAACTGTAGAAGATGGAGGAGCTTTAAGAGAATGTTAGAATAGAAAATAAGAGGATGTTATTATGTTCCAGTTAATTTTTTATCTAAATCTTTTTCAATTTTATGAACAAAATAAATCAATAATACTACTAACATTTGATAGATTGGGCCCCATAATTTTAATTAGTTACAATCTTGAAATATATTATGCCCTTTTTATTACGTATCATTTTATTTTTTTGTTACATGGAGCTTTCGGTAATAATAAAGCACGCTTGAAGCCCACAGTATGGCCCGGTAAGGATGTAAAAGGTTGTCTCTCCTCCAATAGTAAGTGGTACTATAAGTAATTATCTTTTTCATTTGAATAAAAACAGAGCTCATTATCACAAAAATAAATTCTACTACTCCTTTTTTGATTTTGCTTGAGCATTTTAACTAATTTTTTTTTTTTTTTTAAGAAAACAGTACGACAATCTATCAACGATTGGAAAAAAAATAGAATTTCTGAAAGAACAAAAACACCGAATTGGATGTATTCAGATAAGAAATAGGTATGTGTAGTTGATGTTTTACATGAATATTGTGTAATGCACCGACAGGTCCATGTAACGAATATATATATACATATATATATATATATATAATTTTTTTTTGTAGATCTTTGTTCTGCATCCTTCTGCCTACCTTGGGTCACTGCTTTTCAGGTTGCGGCATGAGGAACTTGCGATCATGACACGTAGTATTAAATTGTTCTAACCTAGCCAATCTGTTCTAACAAAGAGGAGAACTATACGAGTGATGTGAATAGCTTGATAGTACTGGAGAAGGGTAACCGTTCCTCTCCAGTACTATCAAACCGATTATATCAGGAGGTTATCCGAAAACCGTTTTCTTACCGGTTTTTAAAATTCATCATATACTGTTATTGTAATAAGTTCATTTCAGTCACAATGGAAATCCAATACTGAAATATACATATAATATTAAATAAATAACAAACACTCATACGAATCATAAAAGGCCTTATTTTTTATTTTTTTTTTTTAAATAACACTAAGGACTTATACAACTGTTATCGTTCTTCAATGAAGACGGATTACTGTTTTTTATTATCATATTTTTTTATTCACTATTTTACTATTTTCTCCGAAATTTTATTCTTCTTTGTGTTTACTTGAAAGTATTTAAAAAGCCAATCTTCCTTGATCAAAAATATTTGTGGTCGTAGTCTTCTATCACTTTTTTTTGTCGTGGCACCACTATCTGAAAACGCCTGTCTTTCCTATTAGTTAAGTCTTTACTATATATAGCAGTATCTATATTTACGAATACTCAAGATTGGAACTTCTTACTCTTTTGGAGGTATATGATATGGAGTCATTCTTACAATTTGGCTCCACGCTTCAGTAGGCGGTGTATCTGCCCAACTTGATTACTCTTATAATATTAAAGCTCTTGTACAAAACTTCCATTTTTTTTCTTCTAATATTTCGTTCCCAATTTATTTGCAAGGAGCCAAATATTAGCCGTAATACTCTCTAAAATGATCGAAAGAAAATTACATCTTTTTCTATTGTCAACGTCTGAGCCATAGATTGACAGGTTCAATAAGCTTATTGATGATGCTTATCTCCTTAAATCGATTCGTAAATTATTAATTCTGTGGATTTACTTTTTAAAGGCAAATATAAATTAAATTATTTTTATTTCATAAAGCGGTGAAACGATACTTTTAATAAATATAATTAAATTAAGACCATATAAAGCAGTTCCAGTAAATATAATACAATATACAACTAAATGGACACCTTGCCATAGGTATTAAAATATAACATCTATTTAACTGACACTGTTTACTTATTTTTATAATTCAATTACCTCTAAAGAAGAGCAGCCCACAGAATGGCAACATTTTCAGCATGACCTGAAAACAGAATTATTATTTTAGATATTTTTAAAAACAAAATTTCTTTTACCTCTTTTATTAATTAATTTCAAAATATTAAACTGTATTGTATAGACCTCATGTAGTGAACCTTTTTATTATCAGAAGCCGCATTAAGGTTAGGCATTAATCATTGGAATCACATTAATAGTTTATATTTTACTGTTGATATGTTTACTTATAAGTAACTACTCGCCCATATACATATATTCAACATGTTTATAATAATTTTAAAATGTTCGTACCCTACATAATTTATTTTTTTTCTAGAGCTTTATTAGTGAAGACAGCGCAAATACTTACCGAGGCAGCATAATCCTAACCGTGACAGAGCACCAGACTTACCAATTATTAAAAATGACACTTATGTTGAATGGGCTATAAGTATAAGTATAAGTTACAGATTCCGATTATCATCTAACATTATTTAACAAATTTTATTGAAAAAAGTATATGATAATTAATTATAGGTAATGAAGTCGGTTAAATATGGTGATATAAAATAGAATCAAATTCGGATCCCTCAAAATTCCATTGAATTCGACAAGTATTAGACGACATGAGATTTGTAAAACATGAACTTTCTCCTAAAAGACTTACTAAAGCTAATAATCGTAAGCTTATATAATCATAACGAAAATCATGATCATTATGTCTGAATGAAGCTTAGGATACGAGGGTGTGACGATGATTTATCAGCTCTTGGAACTTGACAAGATAATGCCAAGAAACTTGTTGAAACGTGGTATAGATAAGAACAAGTTTTGGGTTAATGATGATACGAGAATACGGAGTATATTATAAACTGATGAGAGATTGAACATCACAAATTGGAAAACAGCAGCTCAAGAAAGGAAAGTAATTAATCGTACAGCGTATAGCAACAATGATCAGTAGATAAATAATGAAACAAAACATATGGCGTCCCCACCCCATGACTTTCCTACTGACTTTTCATTTCACAAAAATTTAAGCTATGTAAGCAATATAATAATTATCTTTTAAATGAATTTCTTTAATATTCAGAGAGATATGAAAATAAAATAAAACATTTTAAAGGAGTATCCTGCGAAAATTACTTTTAAAAGTTAAATACTATTGAAAAAAATTCAGATTACAAATCAGAAATGAGATCACAACAGTGTTTTCTTTATCAGTACCAGCCGGAATGTTATAAACGTTTGTTTAGCAATGAGCACTTATAATTTTATAGAATTATGTACTTTTTCTACTTATAATTAGTTAACTACAAAACGTTAATAGATTTTTAAGAGAAAAAAAATTGAAAATCAAGAAATGTAGTTAATCACACCGTACAAGTACTAATGTTGGTAAGATTTCGATGATTTTTATTTAATCTGTGGAGAATCTAATCTTCAAAAAAATATAAATATAAGTTTTCATAAAATTAATTTATTTATTAAAAGCCGCTTTAGCGCTACATTTCAAAGAAAAATATATTTTTTTTTTGTTTTTTTTTATACTGTCATTATTGTGTACAGAGTTGCTGTTTAGGGCTGTAAAATTCTGTGGTTATCAACGCCTATATATTCTTTGTTTCTATTACCTCAATACTAAATAATTAAAGAAACAATAAATTAAAAAAATATAAATAAATAAACAAACTTAGATTTTGTTTACCAAATCATTTCCTTTAAGAAAATGTTTTACCTACCTTACTTTAACTTCATCATTATTTAAAATATCTGATAGTTTTGGTATGAGTTCTAATTTCGCTAAGATTGATACGAAATAGGGACACTCATGAAAGATTTGGCTGACTGTGAGAATGCTGTAGCATTGTTGGAATTTTGGTGCTGGCTGCTAACATATCCGGTAAGAATGTTTCAGGTTCTTAGGTCCAATTCTTAGTCTCGCCAAGGCAACCTCCTCACTACGAATAGGGCAGTTCGAGGTGGACCATGATTTTACTGATGTTATTTATTTATTTCAATTTGGTCGGAGGGCTCTCGTATCACATGGATTGCCAGCTAAGAGCTATTTCCTTTTTGAGGCGGAGGCTTGTATCACGTGGTGTTAAAATAGCAGCGCCTTGGTCTGGAAGGGTGAATGCTTGTTTGGCCGCTGCTCATTTTCAGTAATTAATATAGTAATAATATTCGATACACATGACGAAACTCAACCAAACATAAAATTAAATGAAAAAAAAAATCTATCCATCCGTTTAAGATATAGTCATAACAAAATCGCCCTCTAAAGATCTGCTGAAAACCCAACATCGAAAATTGCCTTCTTATAAATTTTTACATCATATAAATATTGAGCTTTCGAACAAATAGTTTACTTTCTTTATGATACAATTAATAAAGAGATTTAGGGCACAGTTTGGAACAATCAATGAAAATAAAATAATTTATAGATTATAAATAAAATATAAGACTTAGGAGTACTCCATAAACGCCACTTGATCGGGAAAGTGGCCTGGCGTGCAGAAGGGTAAGCAGGGACGTGGGAGTGGGAGGAGAGGGTTGGGAATCAGTTAATCCCATGTAGTTAGGAGTGATTGGACCAGAGCAACCAATCCTGAGTCAGTCACTATCTGTCTATTACACCTCACAGCCTTCCCAATCAACGGCTTAGCAGGCAATTAGCTTCTTGCCGAAACTGTGCACATAAGGTGCTGTGGCTCAGGTTTGTCACGTACCGCGGCCGCCTCCACATCAAACCTATCAACTGACTATTTAGCAGTTAGATCTGTCCTCTGCTACCATTTTCCTTGCGGGCTAAGTTAAAGTGATTCATCCTAAGTTGTAAATGACTTAAATATAAAATATATTTTATCTATAATATATGAATTTACTTTAAGTCCATGTTTCTATAATTTTCTGTTTAAAGTTACGTCCAAAAACAACAAAGGCAATCATGGATATAGCATTAGTAAAAAAAAAAAATATATGAATCTAGAAATCATGTTTTGAAAAAAAAACGAATGATTGGGAACTGTAGAATCTGACTTCGCCCTGTATAATCGAAACAGGTCCAAAGCGAGATGACTGCCTCTCAATCAACGCTTGTAAAAAAATGATTCGACAAATCTATTATAAACCGTCTACAATAAAAACAATATCAATTGTGTGTTTCAGGATGCCACTCATGACCTCAATAGATCAAATCGCTGTTGTACGCAGAAACAAAAAGTATGTACAATCACGAGAACTGTTATTGATGCGGCAACTTTTGATTTTGTTGTGAATATAGTTCTGCAAGATGGATGGACAGATGTTTCTCATTGACAGAAGATATTACTTTGATGATTCAATTATTGCTAATTATAGAAGATTTCAGGAAAAAGAGTTGCGGTTTTATAAAGGATACTTTATAACTGACTTTACATAACTTTTTCGGTATCATTTTTTCCTTTGTTCACTGACTAATATGATATGAAAACTATTCATCTGGACCAACTAGTATTTAATAAGTTGTTATTCAATTCCAATACTATTAATTGAGATATGTGTTTTGTCATTTCACCATATTGTCGAATTTCAAGAGCTGTTATCTTTCACTATGATTGGGTAAAGTTTAAAGCCAGG